TCTCCCTCTACTCAGCCCACGCAATAATAAACAATTTATTACTTCAGATACAACTTTGACCACAACACAATTACAATACTACCCCCATTGTCTACTTTAACAAATAAAAGAGAATTTAATAATATTGCACCCTAAAATGTGCAACTTTTTCTTCAGCTTTCCAATTAAAGCTGCATATTACCGGTTATAACTGTCCTAATTGACTCTTCAGGTGCCCTTAATTGCAGTGAGAGAATTGTATCGGTAATGAGAATGAGAATAATAATCGAATAAAATAAAAAGAAAAATTGATTTGTCTATTTGGTTGTTACCAAATTTTTCTGTAGACAAAATTATTCATATGTTATATATATTTTATATATTAATATAATTAATGTAATATAATATAACAGAACTACAAATATATAATTATGATATAGAATACGGTAATAATATGCAAAGCCATTAGCCAAACAGCATCAATATGAAAACATATATTTGTTTGAACTAGCCAAAAGGCATTTTTTTCCTTTTTTTTTTTTTTTTTTTTTTTTTTACATGGGAAAATCTAAAAGACTAATAAAACTATGGTGCTACACTAATACAAGACATTAGGCTCAAAGAAGGGCATCTGAGGATTGAGAACTAAAACAAATGGCTCAAGTTTTTGTACATTGTGGAATGGCTTGATCATTGATCATATTATGATCAAAGAGACGAGAAATGAAAGAGGTCGTTTTTGGTGTCTAATGTTGTTAGTTTCATGGGGTGTAGAATGATGGGCCACACTTGCATTTCCAATTCTCCGGTTCATAATTTGCGTACTGAATGCCTAAATGGCTGTGTCTGTTTGTGGTTGGCACTTGAATAGCTTCACATGGGCTGCATCCATAACACTTGTGCTCACAGCTTGGTGGACTTGACCCTATTTTGCTCACTTCTTTGTAGTTTGCCACTTTGTTCATGTTTGCCACTTCTTCCCAGCTCTTGGGACCCTTCAAGTAGAGCAAACATAACTTTGAGAATCTATGCCCAGCAGAGAGAGAGAGAGAGAGAGAGAGAGAGAGAGAGAGAGAGAGAGAGAGAGAGAGAGAGAAAAAAAAGAAGAGAGAGAGAGAGAGAGAGAGAGAGAGAGTAGACCTCTGTTGATGTTGATTGGGGGGTCTCTGGGCTCTGGCTTGGACCTGATCAAGTAATGCAAATTGGAAGATTAATATATATATATACATACATATATATATATATATAATGTATATATGATACAAAAGAGAAATGGGAAAAGGAAGCGGTGCTGGTTTGAGTCTGAGCTGACTGTACTAGTGGTAAAATTTATTAACTGAGATGGCTATGGAAAGCTGAAAAGGATCTCTAAAAAAAAAAAAGATTACATATGGCCTCGTTCACTTTGCGGATTCGAGTTTTTAATTCGAGTTGAGATGTGATATTTTTTAAGAGATTTTTACTGTAGTAGAAAAAGTTAAATGTGATATTTTCTGAAAATTTTTTACTGTAGAAACCTAAAACTGAAAACTCGAATCGGTGAAATGAACAAGGCATATTTTCTTGTTTACTTTCTAAAGAAGGGCAACAACTAAAGAAGCCAACACAATATGATCACTGTCACTTATTGACATGTTTTTCCAAGACAATCTATTGGTTGGAAAAGACCAATAAGAATAAATGAAAATTTTTAAACAACAATGTAACTAGCAAAATCAAACAGGAAAAACTTCACAAGAGGCAAAAGTAGCAAACCTGAGTGATGAACGCCAATACCATAATTTGATGGAAAGGGCCTGCTTGTTGCAGCAACCCAACTTACTATTTGAAGAGCAATTATCAAAGACCAGAACTTTCCCTTCATTGCTTCAAATTTTGATGATGATGATGATGATAAGGTGATTATGATGTCAAGAAAAAGAAAGAGTCACACCCTCAAAATTCAGGATGATGACAAGCATTATTGCTGGGATATAAAAAGGTGAGCGAGCCAAGCTTACCCTGAAAAAAAAAAAGTTCCTTCTATTCCCAATAAGCCAGCGGGAGCCTCAATGAATGACTTGTGGGGTTTACTTTGAGCCTACTTGTTGAACTGAGCATAGAGGTTTTGCTTGAGAAGCAAGTGATTCTACTTCTGTTTTCATATCAAGAAGTGGAAAAAGCTTCCTCTTTTCATTTGACAACTCTCTCCTTTGATTTCTTGGCCCTTTCCACACAAGGCGATTCTCTCTCAAATCAATACAAAAAGTAATGTATGATATATATATATATATATTTATTTATTTATTTATTTATATGATCCTTTTAGCCCAGAACAAAAGCAACCTTTTCTGGGGTCTCTGAGAAACCTGCTACACCCTATCATATCAGTTTCTGGTTTAGAATATATCCTCAATGCCTAGACTGCAGAGCTAATTTTTTGTTTTCTAAAAAAAATTATGTTGAAATCTTCTGATAGCTTGATTCCCATTAAAGATATTATGCAATTAAGTGACAGAGCCATTTCTAGAAAGAAAAAAGGAAAAAAAAAAAAAAATATATATATATATATATATCCATGCTGATACTTCACCAAGTACTGCAAAATAATTTAAGAGTTAGTTAATGGATTTAATGAAGTACTGGGGTCAAACATTTTTTTTTTTTGACAGCTCGGTTGGTATGTGGGAAACACTCAGGCTGATGTACCATCCGCCAAATCTGGCCGTCCATTTGAAACCACACCAGAAGATGACATTTAAGATTTTAGGTGGCCTTTGATTGCCTTTAGCATACCTGCAGATATTACATTTATTGAACAGTAAATAACACCACCACTGTAACATTTATAACTCCTTTCGTCTTATCTCTCAAAGCAAAAAAAAAAAAAAAAAAAGAAAGAATCATTGTGGACTGAGGAAGAATGAAAGGTCCAGAAGCAACTCAAGCAAGCATATGTAAAACTGTGAAAAAGAAAACTATGTTAAGCAATAGCCTAATAGGTGTTGGTTAAAAAGGTTTTTTGAAATCTGAGCTGTTGTTGCCAATTTGCTATGCAATCTTTGAATGAAAACTTGATTGCCCATCTCAATTTTCTGTCTCCGGTTAGCTAATGTTAGCATGTTTACATGTTAATGGCCAGCTAGGGACATTGAAGAAAAGACAAGTCAAAGTATCATATATGAATGCTTAAGCAACAAACGCTTAAAAGTGAAACCATACTTATATGCCTCGTTCACTTTGCAGATTTCAGTTTTCAATTCGAGTTGAGATGTGACATTTTCTGAGAGCTTTTCACTGTAACAGAAAAAGTTAGATGTGATATTTTCTGAGAGCTTTTTACTGTAGAAACTTAAAACTGAAAACTCGAATCGGTGAAATGAACGAGGCCATTTTTTCAATAATAAAGGTTTGAAAATTCTGTATTGATATATGTGGTGGGTGAAAGTTCAGTAAATTTGATGTTATTCAATATGCTGCTATGCTGAGCAGTACTCAAGTCAGCCAGCCAGTAGACCTGAAAACTACAAAAAGAGCGCAAGAAAGGCATTAGTCATTCACAGGTCATAAAATGTGAGTAAGGACAGTTTGGACCAGAAATAGCATTTATTAACAACAACTCAAAAAGGACTCGTTGTTTATGAAAGGATGAGAAAGATCATTCTATCTTGGCCATTCTAGGCCTCTTCCCAGAAGATCATTCTATCAGTTCTTGCTTTGAACTAATAGTTAATGAAAAGATGGGACATTATTTGAGAGTTTTTGATACTATATAATATGCAACTTCTTGTTGTGTTACAATAAGCAGAAACACTAAAAATTATCACAAGTAATAAGTTATCTGCATTCTATAGAAAAACTATGACACTTTGTCAATAAAACGGATCTGAACTGCATATGGCAGCATCAATATGCTAAGCTAACTCTAGATCATAGACCATTGGTTAAAAGCAAAACAAGGCCGCAATAAAAATATTCCTTTTTTTACCATATAAAAGAAAAGGTAAACGTTTTGTAATGTATCAGCATCTAGTACAAACATTAATTAGTCACAGCAACCTAAAAGCAACCACTTATGATGGCAACAACACCATGGCCGTACTCCTTTGTTTATAACAAGGCCAATGAAGGGAAAAAATGGCCTGGCCAGGCCAGGTCAGGTGCTGTAACTTATGCGTGGTGGAGCTTGTTGACAAGCCTCAAAGCATTTAACTTTCGCATTAAGTTTTTGGGATTAACACATAAGATTATGAGATTTTTACTCATACCGTCGGAGGGGTCTCATCCTAATTTAAATTGCCGTCTCTTTTAATCTCATTAATATGTAGTCGCTTAAAATATTTAAAATAATTAAATTGAATTAGAGATTTTTTTTTTAATTATATGAGAATAAACTTAATCTTAATATCTGATATTAATTTTTAAATTATAAAGAAGTTTCAGTCTTCTTAAAAACATACTACATACATAAAATTAAAAAAAAAGTCTTGTCATAATAAAATATATTGCGGAATAAAATTGCGAGCAATATCAATTTCTCATTCTCCACACTGCTCGCCTACTGTTGTGCACTGTCCATCATTCACTTTTCATTGGTTGCTTTCCTACAGTATAAATACATCTTAGGGGTGAGTTTATACTCAGCAAGTAAGAATTTAAGTCTCGCTAATTAAAAACAAAGTACTTAAAGTATAACAATAATGCATGTACCAATTATGTTTTTTTATGAACTTGACTTATTAAATCTTATGGGCCTAAGTGTTCGTACCAATTGTGCACGATCAGCGGGTAGAGAGGGTTTGCAAGGTCCCCAACTACACCTGACCATAATTCATTTCATCATTTTTTCCTGAACATAAGCCCCCCAATCTTGAGAGGTTGGTACGACACTCAACTTTAAACTATTCTCATTCATTTCATTAGTGAGCATATGACATGACATGGCACGACATTTTATATAATAGAGCATAGACATGTGTATAAGACATGTATAATATTTCACTTTAAAACTTATTCATATTATAAGCGAGATTCCCACTTACATGCTATCAGCCAAGGTTGAGATTATATTATATTACTCACCGAGGTTAACCTCTACTGTTGTGTTCTGTAAAGAAAACCTACTGAGAGTGTGAGTTTGACCCATTATAAGCTAGTCTATTAGCTTAGTCTATTTTGAATTCATTCCTATACTTAGTAATATTTTCTTTTAAATAGGGATCATTTAACTTCTTTCACATTACAAAGATTATTTTAATAGTCCTTATCATATACTTTTCGTTAATTGTCTTTGCTAATTGGTCCCAAGTTAACAACTTAAATTTTAATAAGTTATTTACCATGGTCTTTGTCTAAGTTATTATTTCATATTATTTCTTAAATTGAGCGTAAAATTGTATTAAGGTCCATTAGTGTCCAACATGCCTACAACGGTCCTTTACACTAGCGTGCCTGATTTAGGCTTGAAAAGTTACGGGCCTACTACGGGTGTTGGGCCTGTACTTAGTGTTTTTATAAAAAAAAATTATCAATCCAATATTTTTTAAAAATCGTTAGTAAATCCCATTTTACCGTTAGTCATATCGTCGGTTACTATGAATTTAGCCCGGTAAGCACTTAGTGATTATTTTTAGAAGATAAACATAAGTTTGTAACACTTTTAAAATTTCTTATTTCGTCTTAAACTTTCGATTCTTGGAATACTCAAATTCAAACGTTTTGGATGAATCCGAACCGTTTCAAATCCTTTCCGGCTAACTTTTCTGTTTTTCTTAACGTTTGAGAATTATATTCTTAAAATCTAAGCTTTACAAAGTTCCTTTGTCTCAATGCGATCTAAAAGTCATGTTTCACGGAAAACATGGTTTGGCCTCGGAACGGACTGAAATCTTAAAAATAATGGTGACACAAATATTATTTTGCACAGTTTTTGAAAATGTCTCGAAAACGCATCCTAGAGATTTTTCGCAGTCATAGAGATTTGTTCGTAACGTTGAAAAATTTAAGACTCATACCTAAAAATCTCAAAATTGCCCTCTAAAGGGTCCAAAAACAGCAAAACAGAGACTACTTCAAGTTGACAGTTTTTATGAAATTCTGGGCAATTTTAGAAAAATATCTAAAAACACATTTTAAGGGCAGAATCGAGGTTTTTCTCAGTCACAAGGAAATGTTCAGTACTTCAAGATCTACAACTTTTTTGAAATAATTTTTTTTTTTTTTTTTTTTTCAATTTGGACTTTAATAGCTTTGAATTTTAAGTCAAAATAGACTAAAAATTTTAACTTAAAAATAGAAACTTACCAACTTATTATTATTATTATTATTATTATTATTGCATCTTTACCCTTTTAAGGTTAACATGATAAGTTTTGCACTTGTTCTAAACACACAAAACATCAACCTTGAAACATGAAATACAATTTCAAAACATAGATCTAGCATTAAAAACCTCATGCATGTGAAAATCTAACTTTTTAACAGACATAACACAGAGCTTGGTAAACAATCCAAACTTTGTTCTTAAAGTTAAAAGATCAAGACAAGTTTTGCAAGGTCTTACCACAAGACTTAGGAGAGGAAGGAGTTTGACCACCAAGGTGAGAAATTCCTACAAAGATTCAAATCTTTAATGAAAGTTGAAACTTTGAACAAAGAAAATCAAGAGAGAGAGTTTTGATCTTTACCCTTGAAAATGCTAGGAATTCATACACAAATTCCTTCTCCTTCTTCTAGATTATGGTTTGAAGTCTTCCTTGAGTGAGAGAAGTGAAAATTTTTTGAGAGAGGAAGTGTGGAAGGTTCGGCTAAGAGAGAAGAAAAAGAGAGAGGAAGTGTAGAAAATTTTTAGAGTAAAATGGTGAAAATAAGCTTAACTTTAAATGGTGGTTTATATAGACAATTGGTTAATTATACTTAACCATAATTCTTAAGCTTCTTAGGCTTATTAATTGGACAAAATTTTTGATTAACCATGCTAATTATGGGATGCTCAAGATTAAGATTAAGAGAAAAGGAGAGAGAAATCTCCTTAATTAAGACTTGTAACCCTTTTCAATTTAAGGTCAAGTCAAGTCTCATCCTTGTCTCCCACTAAAGTCTTCTCTTATCAAATCAAACTTATTATGACAGTAACTTCTAGATCAATTTTTTAGACCAATGTTTTCCGACGATTTTTCAGTCCACTGTTTAAATCACAGTCCAATACTATATTCAGAAGAAATTAGTACCGTTTTTTTTTTTTAGATTTAAAATCCCGTAGATTATTTAGACTGTTTTCAGATTTTAAAATTTGTCTTAAAATAACTTAAAATTTGGGTTTAGCATACGTGTCTTAACTCTCAATAAAACGTAAAAATCGACAGTGTCGATTTCTGAGTCTAGCTTTACGGTTCTACAGAAAAACGCGATTCGCATAACACCGATTTACTAATTGGCAATTAAGGACTTCTTTAAATGTTAAAGTGCTTTTCAGAGCACTGCTAACACTGTGCAATACTCAAAAATTCTTATGAACAGAATTACGAGCCATAGTCGAATTGAAAAAAATTTCTCTCGTCTTAAAGTGCGGTGAGGATTATCCACCAAGTCATAACATAAAAAGTTTTGACATAAAATTTTTATATAAAATTTTAGAATAATATCATTAATTCCATAAATCTTTTGTTACAAAACAGTCATTATCCAAAAAATTCATGATTTAATTATGTAAATTACATTAATTAACATCAATATTTGTTTGGTCATTACACTCATAAACAGTAGTGTGAAAAAAGACAAAACTTTGTTGTAAACCGTTAGATCTTCAAATTTTCATATATACATATATTTTATTTTAATGTTATTTTGATAAATCTAAGGTTCAAAAACATAAACTACGGTAAAATGTACCACCAAATATAAAACAGATATTAAGATATAGTGTACGAGATCACAATTGAAAAATATGACAGTTGAGCAAATACTACGAAAATCTGTTGCATCCTATCGATAAGAATACCCACATTTTACTCAAAACTATCCTCCTAACAAGAGAAAATCATGTTTTTAGTATAAAACAGCCAACAGTTGCCATTTCAAAGTGCAATCTCGTCCCATTTCCTGTTCATGGTAATACACTAATAGTTGCAACAACAAACACACACACCAAAGGAACAAAGCAACAATTTACAATATAGAGATATCTCGTAAGCAAATCTTGCAACCAATTTTTCCAAATTCGACCTTCTTCCATTGAAGATTACTCATGGCTTTTAGAATCTTTCTTCGGATGAAGTGTTTCCACAAGGGCCTCAATTTCTTCCTTGACTCGTTCAAACACATTGGGGCCTTTGACTTCATCTATCTGGGTATTCTCATCAATGCCATCACTTGTTCCGTGTGTTTCCTTATGATGAATGGGTGATTTCTGGGTGTGGGTTATTGCCTCTATCTCTTCCTTTGCCCTTTCTATTATATTTGGAGCCTTTGCATTTTCTTCTACCAATACATACATATAAAAATGTAATTATATATATACAACAAAACCCAAATTCTGCTATCTATCAAAAATTGAGTTCTTTAAAAATTACATCGAGTATAAATCAAAATCTAAAAGTATGATTGTGCAATAAAATGTGAATGAATTAAAAGGCATTGCTGACAGAGAAAAAAAATACAAAACTGAGCATAATTTACAATCTAAAAACATAAGCATGCAATAGCTAGTAAAAAAATATATAAAAGAAAAAAAAACCCCAATAATAATTTATTCGAAAATTCAGCTATATCCAATTTTATTCAATAAAGGGGTTGTTCTTTGCAGAACCAATGCTCCAAAAAGATTATATATTTACACAAAACCCATCACAGAGATTAAATGTTTTTCGTCGAAAAGATCGATAATTCATGATTTGAAAAATAGGTTTCCCAATATCAAAAGCAGAACAAACGAATATGATTACTGATGAGCACGGGAAACTCCATATTTGTGAAACCGTTCTAAGGATCAGTAATACCTGAATTTGGTTTTGGTTCTGCCATTGGAGTGGAGCTTGTGAGAAACGTTTGTTGTTGTGGGTTGTGTGGTCAGAAGACAGAAACGTTTCTTGTTTTCTTACGCGATGATATCTATGGTTGTTCGAGTTAGGATGCTCCTCAGGCCGCTTTCGCGTTGGACCCACCTTTTTCATGATCACGATGATCTGGCTGTTCAGATCCATTACACGTTAAAGAGCCCCTTTTATATTATAGCATATTTTAACGAAACATTTTATAATTTTTATATTTTTTGTGAGAAGATTAAGGTCTCTAAGGGTCCGTTTGGTAGAAGGATTCGTTCCCTGATTTGAATTATAATTCATGATTCGTTATAGTATTTTCTCTCATAAAAAATTCACGTAAATCAAAAATGGTTCAAATCACATGGTTTGAATCCTCCAACTAAACGCCCCCTAATTGTATCACGTGTTTTGATACAAAAAAAAAGGTATTATCATGTGTTTAATTTTTTGCTGATATATGTGTTTAAATTAGATCCTCAAATTTCTATTTCATAATGTCGGAATTTGTTCCTCGAATTATACCTTTAACATGACCTAACATTATTGTTATATACTCTTATGAAAATCAATTTTTCTATATATATAAATGAAGTTTCGTAGTTAAAAACATAATAATATTTTGTTAATTAAAACTGAAAAAGATGTGAAATTATTCACAGAATTAGGGTTGGTAGTTTAATGTGATTCGCGTCATAATATAGAAAAGATAAATCCTATACTACCCCTATAGTTTTCTTTCTCAATTAATATAAAATAAACGTTGATTAGTAATTTAATAAATACTGAGAAATAAATTGAATTATTTTCAATTCTAGATCGTGATAATCAATAATCTTTTGTTCTCTCTTTTTCTTTCTACCTTTTTCCATTACATTTCACAAAATATTTGCTTAGACTATACATGAAACAAATTAAAAAAAAAGGGTGTAGACAGTACTTGTCATCACAGCGGAATAATATTTGGGACCAATTATTCGTTTAAAAAAAAACAAATTAAAATAAACATTTTGGATTGAAATGGTATTTTTATTTTTTGAGGGGTAAAAACACACTAATAGCGTCTATTAACACATTCGTTTTGCTTTTCACACACTATTTTTTAATAAAATTTTCATTACTAAATTACCTATTAATAAAATTACTTTTAAAGACAATAATATTTAAGAAATACTTATTACTGTAATGACTGAGAAAATTTCAGACTTTAAATAATACAATTTATTTATTTAAGCCAAGGATTTTCCTAGAAAATATTATGTGACTGAAGGATTTATGGAATCAATAGATGTATTCCTAAATTCTGTAGCAGATTTCATGTTAAGTTCATGTTTTCGATCAAATAAATTCGATCGATAAATTCTTGCTGTACTTTAAGGCGGAATAATTTTCAGTACAAGTATAGTTTGAGAATCTTAATTTCAAGAATCTCCAAACACAGCATGATGTTAGCAGCGTAAAAAAAAAACGCACTGACATTTTTAAAAAAAGAGAAAATCCTTAATTGCCAGACAGCTAGGTTAAAGTCAGAAGATAAATACCCATAGTAGAAGGGTATAATGTGAACTCGGGAGTTGACATCGTCAGAAACAACGTCATTTCTGAAAATTAACGCAGGATAGTTAAATTTAGAATTTGTTCAGTCTAGAATTAATTTCAAGACTGTAAACAGTTCAAGATATTACGCGAATAAGAATTTAATGTGATATCCAAAGCAGTCAAGGATTTAACATTTAACTGTAAATAAGCAGTAGAAAAAGGAACCGTCAGAAATGGGAACGAATTCCTGTTAGCTAAGTTACTCTCTTATAGTCAGTATAATTTTTATCAGTTTCAAAGGGAAACTTAAGAAAGTGGACAAGAGTACAATGGGGTAGGTGAGATTTTTTTCTCTCCCTTCCTCCACTTGGCCGGCCATGCATGAAAAAATAGAGCCAAACCTTTGGCTAGTGGAGTGTGCTAGAGGACTTTATGTTAAGGTGATGTGATGTTAGTGGTTGAAGGGGAATTAATGGCAAAGTTGCTTCTTCTTTTCTCCTTCCAAAACCGGCCAAGAAAGGGGGATTTGAACCAAAAATTTGGTTGAATGATGGAGTGGAATTGGTGTTAAAAAAAATAATTTCCAAGTGCCTATAAAAGGAACCAACATAGGATAAGCTTCATTTTTTTTCTCCTAGCTTTTTCCCCACTCAAAAAATCCGGCCACACACTCTCCATTTCCTCTCAAATATTTTCTCCCACTCTCCAAAACTTGAGCCCCTAGCACACCATAGAAGAAGAAGAAGGAGATTAAGGGATTCTAGGAGGAGACTAGTCAAGCATTCCTCTAAGGGTAAAGAAACTCTAAATCCTCTCTTTTTCATGTTTTGGGAAAGTTTGAAATAGAGAAATATTCTTCTCAAATTTCCTTATACTCTTATAGTTTCAAGCCATTAACAATCCTAGAGGAGTTCAAGGGTTTTTCAAGAGAAAGAGAGAATTCTTCAAGGGTAAGTTCTTAAACTCCCCTCCATTAATTTCTAGCCAACTTTAAGCTTGGATTTATGGATGTAAATTTGTGGTTCTTGAAGAGATAAGATTGTAATAAGAGTGTGTGAGTTTTATGTTGGTTTTGTGAGTTTTGAGCTTAGTTTGATGTGGTATGTTTATGCTTAATCTAAGTTGCTTATTTTCGGATTAGAGGAAAAATTTTCCGGTGACTTTGACCGCGAAAATGAGGACCATAGAGCGAGAGTTTTTAATGTTTTAAAGCTTGAACTTATAGCCCTGGATGTTTTGAACATTTTCGGTTACTATGACAAAACCTAATTTTAACTCTAAAACCAAGTTTGAAGCCATTTGGCAAAAACGGACAAGCTGTCCAACACAGTTTCGAAAAAAAAACTGGCAGCCACTGGTTCAGCCAAACGGGACCCTTAGAAGCTGAATCTCGATTTTTCACAAAAGTGACAATTTTATATTTCGACGAGATGAAGAAATTTGATGAAGAAAAGATTTTCAAAATCCGACCCTAAGAGGTACTAAAACACAGATTCCCGAAACGGCACAGTTTTTGACTAAAACAGTTTCAAGAAAAACAACAGCTACGGCTTTCAGCCAAACGGGGCCTTTAGAGGCCGAGATGAGAAGCTATACGGCTCAACTCCAACATAATTGCTCTGATATAGCTGGCTCTTTTAGGCACTTGGATATTTCCCAACAACTCCGGTCCATTTATGGTTATTGCTTCTGTGAACATAGTAGCTAAATAATCCCAACGCGTTACATAAGGCAGATATTGTATAATTGTTCGGTTTTCCGCAATTTTTTCCATTCCTCGGTGTAAATAGCCTAATATTGGTTCACAGTCAATAACATCTTCACCATCGAGAGTAACGATGAGTCGAAGAACACCATGCATTGATGGGTGGTGGGGACCCATATTTACTATCATGAGGTCTTTTCTTGGAGCTGGTATATTCATAGGTTTTTCTTTTTCCTCGATTGATTCTTTCATGAATTACTGAAAAGCGAAAATAAGTTCATTAAAATAAAAAAAAATCAAGATCTAATAAATCAAATAATTCAATAATTCAAAACGCTTCCTCAAATTCAAATTAACGCATTTTTGATTCCCGAATATCTAACTGATTAATTAATTCTTTATAACGTATTCTATTGTTCTTTGACAAATAAGACAGCATCCTTTGGCGTTTTCCCAAAATTTTACGGAGGCCTCTCTGAGATAAATAGTCTTTTCTGTGCAATTCCAAATGTGAAGAAAGTTTTCGTATCCTATTAGTGAGGCTTAGTATTTGAAATGTAACAGACCCCCTGTTTTTTTCTTTTTCTTCGTGTGAAATAACCGAGATGAATGACTTTTTTATCATAAAATGAAATCTTCCCCCCCACCGGCCCTTATTGCTTTGCTAGATTTTTTTATTGATCAATAATAATAATGTTATTCATTTTTTTTTTTTTATTTGGCATACACAATACAATAATCTTAATTTTGTGAATAATCTTAATTTTGTGAATAATTTCCAATTTGAAAATTGTATTCGAATAGGTAAACAAAAAGATAGTTGTCTGCACTCACAAAAGATAAAAAATTATATCTAAAATTTAAAAATAAACTAAGAAGATTTTTGCATTATTTCTAGATATTGATATGTCATTAAATTAGTATCGTGTATCATAATGGAATAGAAAACAATATAGGTGTGCATCTATTTGTCTTCATATATGCAATATAGTACGGGAAATAAAATCAATCCGTATTTCACTTTTTTTCAGTACACGCTTAAGTTCATTTTTAAATTGCGGATACATATGTATCCTTACCATACTGAAACGACTGCCATTATTGGTATCAAACCAATAGCGATTCATACAAGCGAAATCTTCTAATCGATAATTAGGCCAAAGAAAGAACTTTAATCTAATTATATTATTTTGATTTATTTTGCTTTTATTCAAAACCGGACTCTTTACCTTATTTTCATTACAAAAAAATGCATTGCTAGGTATACCATTTCTATTCCTAGAATTGAAACAAATTAGAATTCTCAATTCTCTACGATGTCTAGGGGATAAAATAGTTTCAGGAACAAACAAATCATAATGATTTTTGTCTCGATTTTCAGTCATCTTTTGATGTTTTGAAATGAATTCATCAAAATTCTTCGTATCAACATGGCCCTTTTCTCGATACCTTTGATTAATTGTGTGTTTACTTTTATGAACCAACGAAATACCTATAGTTTGATACATAATAAATTGTCCTTCATTTTTTCTAGACAGACGAACTGGTTCAATAAGTAATATTCCCTTTTTAATCAATTCTGTAAGAATGAAATTTTTCTGAATCATTAGAAGATCCAGATTTATTTCTCCCCTTTGAATAGAGGCTATAGTAATTTCTCTTAGGTTTATCGGTCTAAGCAGGGAACAATATACTTTGATGTTATCGATCATTTTTTTATTTAAAGAATCGTCCCATCTCAATTGAAAAAGCAAATACCTTTTTAGTAAGAAATCAAACTCCGCTTCCATGTTGGTCCTGGATTGTTTTTTATTTTTTTTCATCTTTGATACCGCATAATTTTCTTCAATATCTTTTTCTTGATTTGAGAGAGTTGATTCAAAATCTGT